GTCATTTTAATACTTTTGTTGTAGTGCCAACGTTCTATTTTCAGAATATGTACAAGATTTAGCATAAGTATCAGCTTCCAGTTTTTGAGCCTGCTGGCTATGTATTCTCTCAACTACTGAACTACCTCTACCTCGGTCCGCTGTACAGTGTCTTCCCCACCCTCTGATCTCATGGCCGCCTCTCATTCCCCCATACTTCCCTCGCCTCCTCCTGGGCTTCGAATCACGAGACTTTTACCTGTATTGTACGTGTGCCTCATCTACCCAGGTATTCCAAATCAACATCATGGAACGTCCCCCCATGTTATGTTGTTATTCGTGTGTGCCTCATCTCCCCCACGCCGCCAGAAGCTTCTTACGCCTAGACCATGTGTCTAAATCCTGAGCACTTAGTGGAGCATCTGGCACAGAATAAGTAACTGTGGAATGAGTGAACAGATGAATAGGTGGGCAATAAAGGCCTATCAAATAAAAACAAAGATGAATTATCATGATTCTATTCTTCTGGACTAGCATGATTGGGTTGAATAGGATTTTGAGAACAGGCAATGCAGAGAGTCAAAGGCGGAGCTCCACTGGACACATTCATGTACCAGATGAGAGTACTTATCGTAAAGCCCCACAACTGATTAAAAGTTTGTAGAGTTGTTGGTTGTTTGGTTTTTTTTCCCAATAACCTGACCGTGGATCATGTGCATTTGGGTCTGCTAAAAACAAACCACCAGCTTCAATAAGTGTGGCTTTTTACTGAATTGCCTAGTGTGGGGGGGTTGCATCAAATGGCCGTAGTGACGCTGTATCGAAGGGGGGAAAGTATTGACCTCCCACGTGGTATCATTCTATAAGCGTTCGCATTAGACTGGAACAGACCTACTTCCAAATTACCAGCTTTGCCTTCTTCTAAGTGGGTGACCTTGAGCCGGTTACTTACTCAAATGCTATGTCTCATAAGTGGTAACTACTCTATATGGGTGCTTTTAGGGATTAGACACAAGTGTACATGTTGAACACGTGTTTAATATCTATAGTTCTTCTTATTGTTGTTAGTGCAGTCATGTCAGAATCAACACATATCGCCCCTATGAACAACAAACTGCAGCACGACCCAGTACTGATCTTATATTTGAGCCAATGTTCTTACGATTAGAAGCCTAGAGTGATTTAAACAATCTACCACAATCTAGTGTATAGTCTTGGTCTAATACATGGTCTACAAAATGGAGTGAAGTGTGTAAAAGGTTTATACTTGATATGTAGTACTAAACCCTCATAAATGTTATCAATGATGTTGTTGTTGCTGAAACTGTTGTCTCAAGGGAAAAACCATATGACTGGAGTAAAGTGGCCTAACTATCTGGACTCCCATCCCACTGAGGAGCATTGGTGATGGAGTGGATTATGCATTCGGCTGCTAACTTCAAGGTCAGCAGTTTGACCCCACCAACTGCTACACTGGAGAAAGATGAAGTGTTCTGTTCCTATAAAGATTTACCGTCTCACTATTAACAGACGGTCCTTATGCTCCACGGAGATGATCAATAAACTTCTCTACCAAACATTAACAAGGAGGTCTCCACGGGGAGCCAGAAGCAGATGAAAACATAGATTCTGGAGTGGATCTGGGGCTCATACTTAATCCTAGTTCTAATCTAGGAATGATTCGTTCGTATGACATGGTCTCCCTTGAAACTTGCCTTCATTAAGGAAACCCAGAAGGTGTGGGTGCTATAGCATAGTGTGGTGAAGAAATTAGATGATACCTGGCTATCAGATAGAATAATGTCTGGAGTCCTACAGGCTTGTTTCAAGATAATCAGCCATCTGAATGAGACGTCAACTAAGCCCGCATTGAGGAAGCACACCAACGTCTATGACTCAAGGATTGCAAATTACATAATCCAAATCTGAAGGAGGGAAGAGTATCAGAATTGTGAGATTCTGGTGTGCGGGATGACGTGGTGTGCAAAAATACATTTGCAGGATCTACCCAGGAATTAATCACCCGCTGGTAATTTCCCTCTAACTATAATTCGAGAGATGGAAATAAACTGGTTAGCAGACAGAGTATTGGAGAGATGAGTACAGTAGATTAAAATAATAACCCTGACTTGAACAGTTGATGTTTCCTCTGCTATACACTTTGGGCTTGTTCTGTTTTTCAGTATTTTCTGTGTTCGCTTTTTGTGCGTTTGTTTTCATAGCGGGGTTTGTCTCTGGTGTATTTTGTCATTGTGGGTCGCCTTCTTGAGTCTGTGTCATGTGTTTTTCCATATATGGAACACGGGACTGATGATCCTATAGCGACAATGCCTCGAATGAGGGTCCAGGGGGTGGGGTGGGGGAAGAGGGAGTTACGGGGGAGCTGATATCGAGGAGTTCAAGAAGAGAGAACATGTTCTTAAACTGATTTTAGTAGCAATTGTACATTACTGCTTGATGTAATGTAATTGATGTACTGCTTGATGTAATATAATTGTACATTACTGCTTGATTGAACTATAGAATGGTACGATGTCTAGATTACCTTCTAATAAAATGGGGTCGGAGGGGAGATTTACAGTCTCAGAACCCCCCAGGGGCAGTTCTACTCTGCCTTATAGGGTTGCTGGATCAGAAGTGAGTCAAGAACAGTGAGTTCAGTCATCTTACTCCTACCAGGGAGTTCCCAGTGCTCCCGTTACATGCTCTTATGCCCTCTGTGTCTCCCTCCCAGCAGTTATGCCGATTGTTTAATATCTGTCTCCTAACAGAGTGCACATTCTGACAGCAGGGACCATAGCTGCCTTGCTCATTGCTAAACCCTTGCCACTTACCATAGAGCCTCTTCCCTGAGTAAATTTCACTGCATGAAGGTGAAGCTTACCATACACAGTGCCTAGAATGGTGCCTGACACAGCAATAGACGCTCAGTAAGTGTTTTTGGAACTAAATTGTCAATAACATTCATTATAAAATTAAATTTCTTAATAAAGCTGGTTGCGTGTTACCCATTATAGAAATGTTATCTAGTGATACCATCAGCGGAAGAAGAAGCTGCCCAGCTAAAAGTCTTTTATTGTCTGGCTTGCCTTTTAAACAAAAGCTACAAAGCACCTAGCAGGTGCTCAAAATGGCTCAGTGAATGGGAACTTCTAATGATTCTTTTAACACCGTCATCATTCCCTGACTTCCTGTTGTTCAGAAAAAAATGGTCCAGAAAAAAAAATCATACAGTTCTTTAAAAAGAAAAATTTTCTACATTATTAACTGTTCTCTTTCATTCGTTATCCATACATCTCAGTCTCCTGTGTTTTTTAAAAAGGATTTTGTGTGTCTGCATAAAAGAAACAAAAAGGCTAATGTTCTTGGAAATAAATGGCAAGATAAAATAATTATAGATGTTTGTTTCCATTAAGTGTCTTTGGATCCTTGACAGCTGTTTCGTCTTTATCTGTGAAAAAGAAGCGAGCCATTTTCTTAATTTATCTTCTTCAATCATCTTAAGGGAAATAAATCTTTCCTCAACTATGATATGCAACAGCTAAAAACAAAATGTAGTTAATTAGCCTCTTCCATTTGGCTTTCATATGGAGATTAACAGTGTAGTAACCGTTTGGAAAGCAAATAAAGCCATTCTGGGGCCAAAGGGAGGATACAGCAAGTCCAAGGCACTGAATACGATTCTGATAGCAAATCGTGTGCTCCTGCAGCCCATAGCCCTCCTCCTCGAACCTGAATAGCCAGGCTCCTGCGGCGTTGGGTCATCGTTTCCTTTTTTTTCCTAAAATATATGTCATACCACATACACGTGGATTCCTAAAAGAGTATTGTTTTAAATGATTTTGCATTTATCAAGTGAATTCATGCTACATCATTTTCTAAGCCTGACCCTCTTTACTCAGTAATGTAGAGGTAAGAGTTGTACATATTATTCTCTGTCATTGTAGTTCATCTATTTCCCACTAATATGCCGATGGTGTTCCCCATCCCGGGGGAGAAGACTAAAATCCCTCGTAGAAATGGAGGCTTCAGGTTCCTTCTTTAACGCCCTGGTTGCACTGTGGGCACGGGTGAGGCTGCTAACTGGAAGGTCAGCACTTGGAAACCCCCAGCCGCTCCTCAAGTCAAAAGACGGGGCTTTCTACTCCCACAAAAAGTTACATTCCTGGAAACGCCCAGGGACGGGGGCAGTTCGAACCTGTCCAATAGGGTTGCTATGAGTTGGTGTTGACGGCAGTAAGTAGGGGGTTGTTGTGGGGTTTTTTTTTAAGTATTTGAATAGAAACTATGCAGATCTTCCCCTGAACTCCGAATGATTTCTAGATTACACTGCGATTGAATCTATTCCAATATATAGCAATCCAATATAGGATTTCAGAGACTAAATCTTAACAGAAGCAGCCAGCCTCATCTTCTTCCCAAGGAACAGCTGGAGGATTTGAACCTCCAACCTTGTGGTTAGCAGCCCGATGCTGCTAATGTGGTGACGCACAGTGTCACCCGTGCTATCAAAGGGACTTCACGTGACCTTTTCACTTTTGAGGGATTGCTTTGTCCACTTACTTGCTTTCCACCTCCAAATGTTTCTGAATTTCAGTTGGTTGAAACCTCAGATATAGAATATAGAAGTTCTCTAGATTCCTTACCTGATTCATCCATTCTCTCATAGACAATTGGATCGTTTCCAGTGTTTGCTATTATGTGTGGTGCCTCTAAGAATATTCTAATGCATATATCTTGGTGTGTTTGTAGAATTATTTAGGAATGTATTCAAGCATGCAAATGTTCAACTTTACTACATATTACTGAGCTGTTTTCCAACATGGCTAAATCAATGTACCTTGTCACAAATACCATGTGTTTGATTGTATGGATCCATATCTCTCTCCCCCAACACTTTGAGTCCTTTGAAAATTCGCTACATCCTTGTGATCAGGTCTGAAAGCAATCATAGGCAAGCAACCTGGCAGAACAGTCGGCAGAGTTCATCTTAGATTGTGTTATTGTTGTTTTTTCCTTAGGATACGGCATTGGTCTCCCGCCAAACTCTCTCCTGACCTCTAATATATCTGACTTAATCAGTCAATACAAGTCACACGGGTTTATGGATGTGCTGCATGACAAGTGGTACAAGGTGGTTCCCTGTGGCAAGAGAAGTTTCGCTGTCACCGAGGTAAGGAGAGGGCGCTGCTAGAAGGGTGGATGCTGTGTGTAGCTTCCCCTTGACCAATGTGAGGATGTGCTCTGACTGCCTGGGCCACCTGGTCAGCAGTCCGGGCTATGATAGCCACCAGGCCTTTCCTAACTCCATTGCATGAGTGTTCCTTCTTAATTTCCAGTGAGACAAGTTTATCTGGGATTTAAATGTGAAGCTATTTTGATGAGTAATATCCAATTTTCTGCTTTTCCCTTTGCCCTGCTTCTACAAGTGCAGAAGATATGGTATTCTGAATTAAAGCCATGGCATCTGAGATTAACATTAACAGTGTGTGGTATAACCATTAATTGCTGGTCAGGATGTTGACTTTAGATTATCCTTCACGAGCTACTCGGAGCTTCCTCACTTCCCAATGATGCTTGTCAAATGACAAATTCCTGGTGGATTTAGAAAAGGATATATACTTTAACGAGTAACTCATAGACTACAGAATCATAGTTTTTATCTATTTTTATTTGTTTAATACTAAAAGCAGCTGCTGCCCTACATTTTATAGATGGAAAACTGTACACAGAGATAGTGAGTGGTTTTCCCAAGGCATACAAATTGTCAAAATCCCGCTCTCCGTTGTGGATACTGCTTTTCAGACACAATTAGAAACCTGCAAGATGAGCCAGAATTTGGATGGTGGATGAAGTAAAAGATCTACCCAGAACCCTGGTCTCAAGTCCTTAAAAAAGTAGCTAACGAAACCAGTACAACACCAACCAGACCGATATCAATAAAACAGCAATGCCAAAATCCAAAATGGACTCTAAGGTTTTAAACAGCATGTACTTGCCAACGCCACCTAAATTTATATTTCAACACAGACGCCTCTCCTGAATCCCCAAATCACATATCCACTTTCTTCTTTGGCATGTGTATTTGAATACCCTGCAGACATCTCAAGTTTAACTTTTCAGAAACTAAATCCTTGATCTTCCCTCCTAAGTAGGCTTTTCTTTCTGCTTCCCTTAGTAAATGACACCACTGTCCATTCAGTTACTTGTTCCAGAAACTGGTGAGGCTCCGCAATGCCTCCCATGTCCCACCTTCAGCATCCATCAACACACATGCCTTTTCCACTTATCCAATAAGTTGAAAGTACACTCATGTACTGCCCGCTTCAGTGTCATCACTCACGTCCAAGGCATCCGGATCATGCCATTATCTGGACCACGTGAGAACGTCCTAACAGATCTCTGCTCTCGATCCAATCTGTTTTCTGCATGGCAGATTATTACTTAGAAGCCTGCAATGCCCTCTCATGGTAATTAGGGCCAAATTTGAAATGCTGAGCATGGCTTACTATGCCCTATGGGCCTGACCTGCTCACTGCTTCTTAGTCTCCTCCTCACTCATAACCGCTTCACCATATGGCCAGTGTTCAGGTGGAGATATACAAGTGCCTTTCTTGCTTGGTGGTCCCTACACATGTCTCCTCTTCAAATGCTCTTCTCCTGATATTTGCCCAGCTAATTCCTCCTCATTACAAACCCTCTTCTAAATATCCCTTCTTCAGAGCTGGCCCATAGTCCCTGCATCCAATCTGAATTATGCCTCCCTGATGTAATCATGTCCCTTGGATTATCTCATGTTGTTGTTAGACACTGTCGACTCAGTTCTGGCTCGTAGTGTCCCTATGCACAACGGAACAAAACGCTCCCAGGTGTGCACCATCCTCACAGTTGTTTGTGTGAGCCCGCTCTTGCCGCCCTGGTGCCAATCCAGCTACTTGAGGGTCTTCCTCTTTTTTGCTGACCCTCTCGTTCACCAAGTATAGTAACTCGTTCACCAAGTATAGACCAGGACTGGTCTACCCTAATAACTTGTTGAAAGTACTTGAGATGAAATCTATCCATCCTCAACTTCAAGTATCCGATGGTACTTTTCCCAAGATAGATTTCTTTGTTCTTTGGGCCATCCTTCACGCTTTCAGTGTGCTTTGCCAGCACCATAATTCAAACGCTTTCCTTCTCCTCTAGCCTTCCTCATTCATGGCCCAGCTTTCCCATGCATCCGAGGAGATTTAAAACACCACAGTTCGGGTCGGGTGCCCTTTAGTCCTCAGATTGGCATCTTTGTTCTTTAACATTTTAAAGAGGTCTTGTGCCGCAGATTTGGTTAATGCAACACCGTTTTGATTTCTGGACTGCTGCTTCCATGAACATTGATCATTACCGCATAGACATCATAATTTATAAACTTGGTCATAAATGTAATATATATGCTTAATCTGATTTTAATGGTTTAATATATTTCTCTTTCATTATATTATAAGATTCCTGGAGGCAGAGACTTGGCTACTATTGTATTCAGTAAGTCGTTGTGAAACAAATGAATAAAGACAATAGACCTCACAATCTGGGAGCAGAGGGTAAGAGCGTCCAACAGGAATAAAATAAGTGGGTAGGTAGGTAGATAAAGAGAGAGAAAAAGATAATGTTGCTGGGTTTTTTTTTCTCCAAGACAGAGATTTTTCTAAAATCTACAAAAGAAAAGTAAATAATTTCAACTGGAAGCTGTAGCAAATGATCCCTGCCTTGAGAATTCAATTTAGTTAGACTCTTCCTCACAATCATGACCCAAAGAAATATAAAATGGATAAGGAAACTTTCTAATTACAAAAAAGAAAGGGATTTTGGACAATCTTTAGTATGAAACTCTGAAATGGCTTTGTTTTGTTTGTATGACATTTAATAACAGAGTGGATCACATTTGTATGATATAAAAAAGAGTTCCCTCTGGTTTGTATATTGATCCTTATAAAATTCGAGGGCTAATGTCAGATAAGTTCAATGAAACCATGTAATTCGTATCCTTTGTGACCTACTCAGCCAGCTTCTATGAACTTAAACCATCTGGTAAAATATAGTTGCTCATTCAACAATATGTATTTAGCACCACAATGTGCCTGACATTCTAGCTACCTTAGATATGTCATTCAGTAAAAGAGACAAAGATCCCTGCCATCAAGGTGTCGCCTTATATCAAGAAGAGATAAGACGACCCCCAGCAGGACACGAGTGATGGCAGTGGTCATCGGAGGCAGCATTGAAACATGATCATTGAGCAGAGACTTGAATCAAAGATGAAGGGAGGAGGGGGACAACTAGCATGTTCTATTTCCCACCATGCACAACACTGTTCTAGTGACATCTATTCATAGGCCCTCACCAGCATCTTATGAGGTAGCTATTTTTATCTTCATTTGGAAGAATTTGCATGGCTCTTCTTAAAGAATATAAAACTGGACTAATACTGGTCAGCTGAGTTAATTTAGCCAAGAAAGGAAACAGACAAGCTGCAAAGAGTATGCAAAGTCACCATCGTTTGGTATTATCTACCCTTTGTTACGATGGTGGTACTTAAGACAAAATTCTCCAAGTGGTCAAAGTCGACATCAAGAGATGAGACAAGCGGAGCCTCCCACTCACTGTCCGGAAAGCAGAAAAACTGCATAAATGTTTTGTGCCTCTCCCATCACATGTATGCCTCTGAGCTGTTACCACTCCCAGCCACCCCCAGACAGAGATGTCTACTGGAAGAACCATCTGACTTCTGTGTCAAGCCTGCAAGGGTCCAAAGGGCAACACAAAACTTAACTCCTCCTGGACACAAAAAAAGAACAGATTTTTGGAGATGTAACGCACCGCTCAAAGAAGTAGATATTGCCAATGATGAGTAACACCACTTATAAATCTAAAGCTAATTTATTCCAATGTAAAAATATCTGACGAGCAACTTGATAAATTTGAAGCCACACAGTTCTGGATTTTAATCCTGGTTCTCCCAAGAGCCAACCAAGTGAGTTCATCACGCTGGCCTTGCAGTGTCCTCGGGTGTGGTGGGGACAGCATAGCCTGGTGTGCCAGTTTGCTCCGAGAATGATGTCAACCTCTAGAGGGAAACTCACCACAGCAGGTGGAAAATAATAGAAGGGTTGGTACTTTTGCCCTCTATCAGGAATATTTGGGAGAAAGCTGAGACTCTCTGCTCCGACGTACTTGAAAACTTAAAGGAGTAGTTCTTTTTTTTTTTTTTAATCATTTTCTTGGGGGCTTGTACAGCTCTTATCACAATCCATACATCCACCCATTGTGTCAAGCACATTTGTTGCCATCATCATTCTCAAAATATTTCTTTTTACTTGAGCCCTTGATATCAGCTCATTTCCCCCTCTCCCGCCCTCCCTCATGAGCCCTTGATAATTTATCTTTCTTTTTTCATGTCTTACACCGACTGCCGTCTCCCTTCACCCACTTTTCTGTTGTCCATCCCCCTGAGAGGGGGTTATATATAGATCATTGTGATAGGGTTCCCCTTTCCCCCTCACCCCCCTTTCCCTCCTGGTATCCTATTCTCATTTACTTATCCTAAGGGATTTATCTGTCCTGGATTTCCTGTGTTTTGATCTCTTATCTGTACCCATGTATATGCTCTGCTCTAGCTGGATTTGTAAGGTAGAAGTGGGGTCATGATAGTGGGGGTGGGAGTGGAGCGGGGCTTGAGCATTAAAGAACTAGAGGAAAGTTGTGTGTTTCATTTGGTGCTATACTGTGCCCTGACTGGCTCGTCTCTTCCTTGAGACTCTTCTGTAAGGGGATGTCCAATTGTTGCAGATGAGCTTTGGGTCTCCACTCTGCACTCCCCCTCATTCATATTGATATCATTTTTTGTTCTGACTCTTTGATGCCTGATACCTGATCCCATCCACACCTCATGATCACACAGGCTGGTGTGCTTCTTCCATGTGGGCTTTGTTGCTTCTTAGATTTATTAAGGAAGTTAACAGATTGTAATGCCACCGAGAAATGATCAGGATAGTTGTTAGTCAAGACACATTACAAAGTTCTTTCTGGTCTGCTAATCAATCCCCAAAAGGTGTACACTCCACTGGAAGCCTCCACTCGAAGGCATTCAGCTTAAGCTCTGTGGGTCAGCAAACCCCGCTCCCTGAATTAAGTGCCCAG